AGGAGGGACTTTGTAGAAAACGAAGCGTTTGAGAGAGGCGGGGCATAGAGGACCTAAAATAATGTACAGTATTTGAAAAATAATGTGTTTTTTGAACATTAAAGCATGTCAACATATTCTGTTACACCAAATACACAAAATAATGATCTTTAAAAAAGCATCATATGACCCCTTTAATATAACACATAATTGAGTTTAATAACGTCTCTACCGGTTTGTTTTTATGTAGCGTTTACGTCCAGACTCTCTCGTGTTACTGTCCTGAGTTTCTCCATACACAGTTCTCAGTTGGCTAAAGACCTACTTGTCAGTTTCTCATATCTGCTCCCCCTTCACTCACCAGAGCAGACAAAGTAAACAGTCCAAAACTGCGGCACCTTGCCTGGTTAGGGCCAGGGGGCCTGAGGAAGCTGGCCGCTCATTGAGTCTTACAGCAACACAGAGACACTGTAACACGCGAGCGCCAGCATAAAACTGCACTCGAGCGGTTCCTCCAGCGCACACACGAGACCTCACACGTCAGACTAGCAGAACCCACCTGAACTTTGAACTTAAGTTCAAACAAAAAAACTGTAGTAACACACCATTCATGTAGGTCATTCCAGATTATGACTTTGACAGGCTGCACTTGATCAGTGAGTGAGCAGGTGTTTATGAACGAAAGTTATTCATTCACTCACTGCAGGGACCCATATTTTCTTCAACTTTATTCAGTGCATTCAAAACCTGACGAAGGAACTGAGAACTATGAATGTGTAAAAATCATAGGCGTAGCTTGACGTTTGAGTTTGGGGGGGCCAAACCGAACCGGTGGATTTGGTCAGGCGTACTTTTAAACACATTTTAGTTTTGCTATAGTAAATCTACATATTCACATTCACATAGAGCAGTGGCAAGTGCGTGAGGTTGTCATGGTAACCACATACATTGCCCACGAATTACAGCTGGGCTTCTATTTTGTCACACTAAACTTAGCAATAATCACGTTTAAAATGCACAATAAACATGTCTGTCAAAACGATCTTAAAGGAGGCTTTTATTAAGCAAATCAAGGAGTGAATTACTCATCCACTGTTTTTAAAACAGACATTTGTTGGGCTTGATTCTAGTTAATGCGCAATGAGGCGCACACTTTTTATTTAGTCTTACTGAATAGACGATAAACAGTTTATATTCTAAAATCTATTTAAAGGTTGTGTTCTGTGAAAATTAAATAACATTTGGATGTAAATGGTCGGCAATAAAGTAGTGTGCGGCTAAACCTGCTGCGTCCTGTGGATCACCTTTATCTGATTGTCCGAGTCCGGAATCATCAAGCACTGCATTAATATCTTCATCTGAGTTTTTCGTTGTCTCCAGATTTCTCTGCAGTTCGTGTATGTTGTTAAAAACGCGGAACATCATTTTATTCCACACAACAGGCAAGCATTACCGTTAAGTCTATTATCCACCAAAATGCAGATTCTATGCATTTTTACGTTATAAATAAATATTTAGTAAAATGCTTTAATCGCTATGGGGGGGCCAGGCCCCCCTGGCCCCCCCACAAGCTACGCCCACTTTTGACCGCAAGCAATTAACTCTCGCACACACACTTGTATACTGATAAATGTCAACCTTAGCAGGATGCAGGGGGGAAAAAACAGACCTGGTTTTTTGTCATTTGTAAAAACACTTTGCAACGCTCTAAACGAATCGATTGAGCTAGTGCATGATTCAATAAACGCTCTCATAATAACACACAAAACACTCACGAGCCGCCACCTACTGGCGTAAAGACTGCAACCTGACTGTATCAGAATGAATCTTTTGGTTAACCGATTCAAACGTTTCGAATCACTAGCTTGAATTCAGATCCCGTTAAACCCTCCATTTAACCGCAAATTCAATCCACAGATCTGCGGTTTGCCCTAGCTTTTTAGTTTAAATCAGCGTAGAATAAACTCTAGAACTGTTTAAAAAGCTCAGCTTTGATAAAGGACAGTGTTTAACAAACTATCAGAGTTTGTTCTGAAATATGTGCCTCTTTGCAAATATTGAGTAGTAGCTGCAAAATATTTAGACTCAGCGACTGGTATATAATAATGTTTGGCATCATTTACAACAGCAAATGAAAGACGTCAAAAGTTGAACGAAACTTTGACTATAATGTTGCATAACTGGCCATCTGGATCACAGCTGAAGACCGCTCAACTTCTCTCAATCTCTGCTGCTCATGGAAACCACTGAAAGACTCGCCAAAGTCAAAAGAACTGAAGGAAAAGCAATCAGCTGCGTGATGCATGCCTGACATAAAAGATCTGAACTTTTGAAGTCTTCGCAGTCACTTCTTCCCCCGTGAGCATTAGTGAGTTAGCCAGCACCCCCAGACCAATACTTGTGTCCCGTGTGCTCTCCTGAGGTAAAGGAACCGGGAGAATCCTACGAGACGCCTCTACTGTGAGCCGAGGAAGGGAAGAGAGACTGAGCACGACTGATCACGCTTTGCTTAACCGGAAGCACAGCGTGAGGATGTACACGTCGAAATGTTGCACTTCCTCGGTCACCGCGTCGCACTCGTGCGCTGAATGGGGCGATTTGCTTGTGACGCTAGAAAGCGAGTGATGACATCCGGTAAGTGGGGAGGTGCGACACGTCAGCACAGATTTGAAAAAAGTGTGTGCACGTATACAACACACCCCCTTAAATGTCTAAGATTTTTAATTAATTTTAATTCATTTGGGTTCTTTTTCTAACTTGGCCACTGTTTCATTCATACTTATTTTCTTTAGAGGCTATAACTTGGCGCATAAGACTGAATAAGCATATGTTCAGTGGCTTATTACTGGAGATGTAAATATAGAGTATTTATTTTTTATATCTATCTATCTATCTATCTTTCTGTCTGTCTATCTATCTAGCTAGCTATATATCATCTATCTATCTGTCTGTCTGTCTGTCTATCTATCTATCTATCTATCTATCTTTCTGTCTGTCTGTCTGTCTGTCTGTCTATACTTTTCTGTGTTCAACATGAAAATGAGACAGACGTAACTCCAATGTATTACTGGTCTTTGTACCTGTATGAAAGTTATTGTTCACAATTCAGTTCGTAAATTGCAATTCATTTTAAAAATCACATTAGACTCTATTAACACTGTTAAATGTAAGTGCCGTGAAAATAAAACTTTTTATTTTTAATCCATAAAGCATGTCAAAAGACAAAAATATATAAGATTTGCTCATTTAATTCGGGTCTCCCGCATAATTTACTATGATGATGATGATGATGATGATGTAGCCTAGACCAGGTCAAAAAACTAGTGATCCTTGACGTAAGGCCGGAGGGTCCATATAAAGTATGAATTTTTGTATACATTTTGTATATTTTGACATGACATGTTACCATGAAAGAAAAATCCAATATAGCTGATATGGCCAAATACTGGACAAGTCAACTAACTTGAATTATACTTGACTGCATTTGGTCCTCACAAAGACAAAAATGATACCAGTCAATTTTGTTCTGGGGGTCCTTGAGGATGGTTCTGAATTGGACTGGGGTCCGGTATGCCAAAAGGTTGAGATTCACTGGCCTAGATGATGATGAGACATTTAAGTGTTATATTGATTCATTGTAATTTGGATTTTGGAATTCGATTTTTACAAATAAAAAAAACATACAAGCAATAACGTTAAAGCTGCATGATTATAACGGTGTGTGTAATGACTTGTTGAATGTGTCACTGTGATACCGAAACTGAAACCACTTTACTATGATTTTTCGTTCTTTAATTAGTTACTACTTCGGTGGGTTTCATAATTAGGCTATGCATGTTTCATGACTGACATTCATGATTCGACATTAATGAAATGGCTCACGCTGTATGAATGAAATAAAGAGCTCAATCTGTCTATGGAACACTGATAATAATGTTGCGGAGGTTCTCACTGACCACTGGATGACGCCATTTGACAAATTACCTTTTACTTGATTTATAACTCAATATTACGCGTCTCTATGCTTAGAATGAAGCGAATGCGCCTTGGTCGACATCGACCTTTTTTCTTATGATTAGTAGATCATGAACTTATGTTAAAAGGAAGTAGCCAGATTCACTGGAAGAATCATTCTGCTGGAACAAATAGAAACGTGCATGCTGCGCTCAAATGAAATGATAGTTTATTTTACAATAGCCTACTTATTTGTATCTAATAAAAAAAATCATAAACGTATTATATGAACTGGAAGTCAAATCGGACATATATTTGGACATATTACAATATGGACATAAATTGGACTCACGTCCACAACCATAGAATTATAATTCACGTTTTTGACTGTCAATTTACTTGATTAATAAAACGACCAGTCCGAAACTCTTAATGTTATAAAGGAGTTATTGAAACATTGGCCGTTCATTGTCGATTAACACTCGGACCAAAGCGCGCGCAAGAACCTAACTACATGTTTCCCTTCGCATAAGCCTGCAACCAATATAGAAACAGAAAAATGCGCATGATATCATCACTTCTATGATATGGTCATATAAGGTACTGTGTACGAAATTAAATATGTATTGCTATTCTTGACTGTTCCCATCTGTCTCACTGTAAAGCGTATTGAACTATTAAAATGCTGGGTACATAGGTAACCAAGAGCTTTGAATATGATATGGTGCAACTTTTTAAACAATTATGTAATTCAGTTACAGAGTTGGGTAGGAAATGTAAGAGATTAGATGTTCATCTGCATTCTTGCACTGGCACAGAAGTGCACTTTCTCATTTGTAAGACACCCATGAACTTTCGTGCAAACAGTGAGAACTAAAAAGGAGATTTCCATGATTTAAAGGTAGTGTCAACAAAACAATTTTCGTGTTCTCTTAATTTAAAGCTGCATCCCAGTATTTGAATGGCTATTTGAATAGTGCATAACACGTGTGCGCGTTTGGAGAGCTACAAGTGCACATTTACGCGGGTGCAATATCAGAGTTTAGTGCTATAATTCAGAGCACAACATGGAAAGATTAATAATTTAGGTTGCTTTCTTGATTTCTGATGGCACAAGATGCGTGAATATATCAAGATCGTTTTGATTTAAAGGTCCAAACTGTAAACATTCCCAAAGTGCCAGACAAATTTGCGCACAGAGAGGATTTCGTCATTTTTTATCTAATTTTTGAAGCGTTAACTCGGTCCATTAACTAATTTCGTTTAAAAATGATCAAAAATAACGTAAAGCTATTTGAAGTAACAAATAAATATGTTATTTGTCTTTTCATCTCGTTGGCAAGGAGATGTTGGCGTTCAAACCGGTCGTCGCGTTTATATGCGGACCGTCCAGTTCTGCAGTTATTATTATGCTGTAAGGGGTGGTTAATATGTAATTTGCACCATATGGCATTTTAAAATCCAACCTTATTTCCACAATCTTCGATCTGTGTGGATTTACCTAATGATGCCCAATTAGTCATTGAGCAGGACCAAAGATGAGGCTTGTGTGGATACTCTCTCGCTAATATTTGCTCTCCAAATATTTCCTTTGAAACGTTTACAACACATTTTATCTGCTGGCCAGACAAGGGACATCTGGGAGGGTTTTCAACTCACTATTTTTA